AGGCGGAGACCCTAGCTGCAGTCCCTGGGGTCAGAAGGGATGGAGGGAGGAATTAACTCCCTCCATCCCTGCCCCTTTCCCCTTAACAGGGCCACGCCAGGACAGCATCTGGGGCTGGGCAGTACCACACAGAGGACCCTGCCCCACCTGCTGCAGGCGAGAGGGAGGAGGAGGAAGAGTCCCCCTCTAGGGCCAGGCAGTGGAGCTCTGTGCCCAGATTGCTCCCGGCTGTCAGAGAGCCACTGCGGCAGGCAGGGCTTTCCTCCTTCTCCTCCTCCTCCTCTGCCACGGGGGTCTGAACATGCCCTTTCTCTGGCCACACTCCCTCTTCCCCGACCTTCTGAACCCTGGTGAACGTTATCCCTGGAGAAAATCATCCATCAGGTTAAAATCATCTCTTCAAGATGATTTCAGAATAGAAAAATTGAGCTTTTGCCCTCGTTGGACTCCATATTTGGGAGTAAATTTCTCCTATTTACTTGGAGGGGGCAAAAAAAATTTGGTGGAATTGGAGGAAAAAAAGGAGAGTACTTCAAAATGAGTGGTTCTTTTACAGCAGGGTTGTCAAAAATGTGGTCTACAGACTGGATCTCGACTGTGGAGCTACATCATTTGGTCCCTCGTGCTGTCCCACCCCCTCATGCATGCAGGGATTGCAAAATACAATGGATTTAAAGATATGTGGATGGCCCCATGTGCTGCATGCAGCTCTTACTCCAGCTTCTGTCCCAGAGCAGTGGTGTGGCCGCTATGTGCACATGCCACATGCAGCAGTGGCTCTGGGGTGCCTACTTTGGCCACTCCAGGACATGGGCTGGAATGCAGGGTTGGTCTGTGAGTCCAGCTGGCCTGCAGAACAGCCCTGCACTACTCGTCCAGCCATGGGGGCTACATTAATTTAGCTCACCTGTTTGACAGTAATATTGCTAACTTAGTTCTCTGCAAACTGCATTATCCATCATTTCTCTGATAGAAAATATAGGATCATAGAAATTCAGGACTACCAAGACCCACTACATCAGCATACATCCCATTACCCTAGAAGGTCATGAGGTACTTTCCAAAAGAGGCTATTTAGAGGTTAAACTGTTAATAATCTTTATCATAGCAAAAAGCTAGAGTGAGCACTTGTAGTTATTAACCCAGAGTTGATTAAGTTTTACAGTGCACAAATCCCAACAGATAGCAGCAAGATTCTAAATGCAAATAAATTTTCTGTGGTTTAAAAAAAAAAAGGGGAGGGTGGGGGGAGGGTCAAGAATTGGGTTATATTTTTATCTCTTTCCAGATTAGGTTTATGTAGATTATATCCAATACCACTTGGCAATGAAAGAAGCTTTAATTGTGTTTTGAAGGTTTTTGTGTGAAAGGGGACTTGTGATTAGAGCGTGACTCTGGGAAATTGTGCAATGATTAATATTAGGAGGGTTTTAGCATAAGCACCAACCAGGGAAATGTTCAATTTATCTTTATTACATTAAGAATTTGGAAAGTGCGGTACAGAACAAGATTTACAAGGTGAACAATATGTTGCATAATTTGAAATTGTAATGAGTAATTTAAGGTTGGACAGCATAGCAAGGAAGTCAGTGGCTCTCATCCTGTAACTGGCGTAAGCTTCCATTCTGATCCTGCTTTCAGTGTTTGCTAAACTTCTGAAAAGTTTATGTTGAGGTTGAAATTTGCCAGCCTCATCTTCTGTCCAGTGGAATTTTTAAGAGGAAGTTGGAACAAAACAGTTAACTCCATCACACAGGAGATCAGAGAGAGAGAGAGAGAGAGAGAGAGAGAGAGTGTATGAACACACACCCCTCCCTTTCCCAAGCATTTTTAAATAAACACATTTCATTCAGGAGCAAATGTTGAATTTAAATTTACCATATAAAAATTAAAAAGAATTGGTTAAATTTTCTCCATCTACTCTATATTTTTAACTTACCTAATTTTAAGAATGTTCACAAATTGAAAGACATTACTTCAGAAAGAAAAATGGTGTTGCAGAGCCTTTTCTGTTGAACAAAAAACTTTGTTGATTATATATGTTACAGTTTGAAGTGTTTTAGCATAATACAGTTGTTTGATTTGTAGAACTTTGGAAGCACCTGAAGATTTCACAGTAGGATCACCTTTCAGTTCAACTAACAGGATTTATGCTTCCATACATAACTGTATAAAATTTTTTTCCATTTTCTTATACTGATTGCAGCAGGAGTTTGAATGCAGCAGATACTGTGACCTATCTAGGTACTTGCCAACTCTCATTCCTATAGTATGTACTTACTCAGAATAATACTAGCAAGGGAGGGAAACAGTATCACTGTTTTATAGATTATCATAAAGGCTGCCTATACATATGGTCGGGGTAGGGGCATTTTAAATTGAGTGGTTTCTGGAGAGCCATGCTAATTAAAACACCTCACTGTCACTTGTATTAAGCCCCTACACATTTGAAAATAGCAGTGGGATGCTTTTCGAAAGCTCATTTGATGATGTTTAGATAGAATGCCTCCACAACCATTTTTAAATGCACAGGGGCTTATACATGTGACAGTGAAACCATGCTGGAACGTTCTAATTAGAACACAAACCAATACATGAATAGGCAGCCAGTGAGATTAGGTGATTTGTCTGAGATCACATAGTGCAATATCTATGACAGATAGTTGAATCCAGGCTTCAAAAAAATCATTAACCTCTCTTTGGTAAGACAACTAAGACCCTATTTCATACTTTCCTTATGAACAAACATGAGACCATGTCCAAGCTTAACAGTTAAGCAGAGTAGATGCCTTAGATGCCTCTGTTTCATGAATGGGGATCTGAGTTTTCTGTTCACCATGGAAGAACTTGGTAAAACCCAGATTTTCGCTTTTTAAGGGAGAAAAAACCTGTATTTTCTCCTTCTAAAGGAGAAAAATGTGGGGAAAGGTGGGTTTCCCTTTGCAGGCTGGCAGAGTTCCAGCCTGCAAGGGGCTGGGGGGAGTGGGAGGAGGGGGGTCAGGTATGGGACGCCATGTGCGTGTGTGTGCTAACACATGCACATGGCAGCCTGGAGAGCAGCTCCCTGCAGGTAAATTGGGGGAGAGAGGGGGAGGATTGAGGCTCCCATAGTGAGGAAGGGAGTTGGGCAGGGCTGGGCCTGCTACCCAGCTGGGGTAGTGTGTGGGGCTTGAGGCCCAGGGCCATTTGTGGCTTTGCACAATGTTGGGAAGAATTTAGGAAAATGTTACAACAACATTTATCTCAATGTATTTCTTTTTGGTGCATTTATTTCACCTAACTTATATCTGTGACATCTGTATTTGCCGTGATGCTGTAAACAATATTAAGGGATTGTGTGGCTGTGAAATGCAATTTATTTGTGCTCTGTTAAGTTAAAAAGAAACATGATATCATCTTGTTTGTTTATTTAGGCTTTAGTTTGTTTCTTTTCTCTCATTTCTGGTTCTTAAGCATTTACACTGTTTCTTAGCTATTTGAATATCGCTTCACATTTTGGAAATTTTAAATGGAAAATATCAAACTGCTAAATTAGGAAAAAAATTTAGCTTCGCTTAAACTTCAGGTATTTCCTTTACATCTCTGCCTCTGTTGAATAATGGACATGGGCTTCATCCACAAAAAGATTGAAAACATTTTAATAACTTGTAATTATAAGCTGATAGCATGATTTCAGCTGCTTTGCTTAGACGTACTGTTAAGCAGTAGCACCTACTTGTCAAACAGTTTTACAGCAAGAATTTTCATTGCTGGAAATCTTTCTGTTTAAACCATCCTGTTGGGAGTTTGAATGCTGGTGACTCTAGCTGAGAAGAGGCATTGACTTCTGTATGCCATGCTGGGCATGAGTGGGGATCTGAGTTTTCTGTTCACCATGGAAGAACTCGGTAAAACCCAGATTTTCGCTTTTTAAGGGAGGAAAAAACCTGTATTTTCTCCTTCTAAAGGAGAAAAATGTGGGGAAAGGTGGGTTTCCCTTTGCAGGCTGGCAGAGTTCCAGCCTGCAAGGGGCTGGGGGGAGTGGGAGGAGGGTGGTCAGGTATGGGACGCCATGTGCGTGTGTGTGCTAACACATGCACATGGCAGCCTGGAGAGCACATGGCAGCACCACAGCACATGAGATGTTTGCTGTGGTGCTGACTAATTAGCTATGTAGTAAAATATCAACATCTATATGTGTGACCCTATTAGGTCTCAGTAGACTAATAAATGCTGCTACTGGGTAGTCTAGCTAAACACAAGAAGTACCTTGTAGCTGCGTTGTTTTGTGCACCATGGCACGTGTAGACAGTGATGGGGATGGCTGGGGCACAAGGGTACTTTAGCGCAGGGGCAGCCTACACAGGAGGACTCTTGTGCCCCAGCCAGGCCCTCTGCAGCACTCTAAGCCAGGTCGAAGCAGCCCTGGGCTTCAGGCTGCTATGAAGGAGCCCCAGGTCCCCTGCCAGCCCAGGGCTTTTCTGACTAGGTAGTGTAGGGGCTGGCTGTAGCATAAGGGTGCCCCAGTGTGGGGGCTGCACCCTCATACTCCAGTCAGCCCCTTGCACCTGCAGTCTGCCCACCTGGGGTTACTCTGACCTGGCTCACTGTGCTGCGAAGGAGCTGACTGGGGCATGAGGGTGCTCCTGTGCGGGGGTGGCTGGCAGGCAGGCAGCCCCTGGGCTGAAGCATGCTTGTGCCCCAGCCAGCTGTTCCACAGCATGTGGAGCCCCATTGGAGCGGCCCTTAGCTGCTCCAGGGGGACTCCAAATGCACACAAATAAACTGGAGCAATATGCTCCTGAGTTTTTCTGCTCCCAGGCACATGTTCAAACGGTGTGCTCAGGAGCAATAAGCTCCAGAGTTTATTCATGCGCGTTAATTGCATGTGTAGGCACACCCAATGAAATCCTCATGAACCCTCCTATTACCTTATCTGTCCATGGGCCTTGTGTTATTCTTAAAAGAATTGCAAAGGTATTAAATACATAGTTATATAAATCCTTCTCTTTCTTCCACAGTCATAATGAACGAAAAGTGACCTGTAAACATCCAGTAACAGGACAGCCATCACAGGACAACTGTATTTTTGTCGTCAATGAACAGTAAGTTAAATACACTTATAATATAAATTGTACACATTTTTAATCTGCTTATTTCATGCTAATCACTGACTTTTAATATGGACATAGCTATGTTAGTCTGAAGTCAGGTAGAAGGTAAGATAGGGTGGCAACTAATTCAGAGATGCATGAGCTTTCATAGGTAGCAACCTATTTTGTCATATGCTAGGCTCCTAGCAACTGACAAAATTAGATTGCTGCCTAAGAAAGGTTATAATTCAGTTTCTAAGGAGCCACCTGGCCCTGACTTCTGCCTAATAAGAAAATTGAAATATTTTATTATTTTTTCATATTCGACTTTTTCTTCACATCACAAATCCCTGGCCAGAGAAGCACATTGAAGCCTTATAAAGATGGCCCAGACTGACTTCCTGTGTTTAATAGACTGTTTTTGTCAATTTTGGGGTGCCATTTTTTACCTGTTAACCCTACCTTAGTTTAATGGAGGAAAAGTTACCAGGTTTTTAATGGAGTAGTCCCAAGAGAATGCCAGAAGGTATGTTTTCAATAATCCAACTAAATCATTCTGTAAAGTTGTTATTCCATAGCTCGTATAGCAACCAGTACTCCTTTGCCATTTAATGGTAGTTTAGTTGCTTTGTTGTCCTGTTCAAGGGCTTTCTGAGCAGTATAACGTGTTTGTTCACTGCTGATTGAGTGTTCCTGAAATCTAAGTAAGGAATGACATTTTCTTAATCTTTCCTGAAGGCTTAAGGAAACCAAGAATTGATATGCAACATTAATCTCTTATCTTAGACTATCAAGTGCCTGAGTATTGTGCAGCCTAAATTGTGCAGGACAAGTAGGCTAATTCTGAGACTGAACCACATTAGTAGTTATAAGTAGTTTCATTTTTATGAAAATAAGATTTGTGGGTGGCGTTCTCTTGCTGTTGTTGTATGAATCGTGAATTTCTGTAGCTTCAAACAACATTTTAAGTGTTTCCAATAATAATTTACTAGTAAATCTTGCTTGCTGTACAGTTTAATTGGCTTTTAAACATTTGGCATAGGTAACTTTGTCAAGAAATGTGAACTGCTAGCTTGCTTGAAAACTAGAAAGTAGGACACAGGCATTATTAGAGAACATCTAGGGATGTGTTTTAATAGTGGCTTGCACACACAGCAGGTTCTAGTGTTATTGCATATTCTATTTTCAGAACTGCTGCAGCTATGACATCCGAGGAAAAGAAGGACCGACCAGCGAGCACGATAAGTGAAGCAACTAACTATAATGTGACTACAGATTATGGTGTGCATCCAATGAGCCCGGTGGGCAGAGTAAGTCTTTTTGTTCCAACACTAATTATTTATTATTAGAATATTATTGTGTGATATTGGAAGATGCTGAAAAGAATCCTATTATTACAGAGAAAGTTTGTGATTAATATTCAATTTAAAGGAAAGAAACAAAGTATATGCTATCTCAGGGCATTTGACTTCTCATATGCTTAATTTGGAAGCTGAGGTGTTTGAAATGAGTTATCACTAAAGCTGTAATTTTTGTCAGATGCCTTGAATCTTATTACTTTCACATTCTTTAATTGTCTGTGGTATCTGACATCTTTAATTCTGAGGAAGTGCAAATGAGCAAACGTGCATTTGAGTGGGCAGATAACCAAGCATGTGGCTGTGGACAGTCGCAAAACCTACAACTGACCAAATGAAAGGTATATAGAGATGTAACAATTTCAAGGGGAATGGTCACCATCCTTGAAGAGGCTATGAGGGCAGCTGACTTGGCAAAGGTTAAAATTTCGTTACCATCAGTGCTAGAAGTTGTAGTGCAATGTGTAAGAGAATTGGTCAATAGCAGACTGCATGTGAAATTTTGGGCTGTCTGCTACTTCTCTCCCTCTTATAAAGACTAGTTTTATAGTTAAAACACAGGGCTGAAAGTGTTAATCATGAATTATGTTGCCAGTCTTGTTTCACTGATTTGTTCTTAGATGAATCAACTTTTAATCCCCTCTGTCTCAGCTTTCCCAGCTGTAACTGTGAGGATATCGTGCTTCACAACGATGTGGTGGAGAAATATCTATATCTAGAGAGAGAGAGAGAGATTTCTCCACCACATCGTGGGGTGGGTGTGTGTGTAATGCACACGCATATAATGGTATATATGTGAACATACATGTGTATATGTACACGTGTGTGTACACACAGCCCTCAGAATTTTCTTTCCACAAAACCGTTTTTCAGAAAAATATTAGAACATCAAAACTATTTTTCAGAAAAATGTTACCAGCAAGACAGCTTCGGTTAGTGGTGACAGACGAGAGCAGTCCCATCTGTCTTCCACTCAGCAGTTAACGTTTCTTTTTCTTGAACATTTATGTATTCTCAGTTCCAAAAAAAGTACAGCATCTCTAGTACTTTGTTAGGCATTGAAAGCCTGGATCTAGGAAAATGGTTCTCCAGCAAATAAATCACATTTGCAACAGAATATATACTTTACAATGTCAGTGTTAAGTGAGCAGATTCTTAAACATAATCCAAACCTGCTGAAATTAATTTTCTATGTGAAAAGAAAATATTCTAGGATTGCCCATAAGAAATAAATCATTTTGAGCATTCGGGGCATTGTTAAAGCAGCTTTTGTTTTAAATGTCAAGTAGGTCAGGCAAAATGACCTACATTAAGACCATTATCTAAAAAGAAGAGACTTCCAAATTCTGAATAATACCATAATCTAACCTGCAACATTGGTGATTAAAAAACCCCAACACTGTTAAACATGACCTTACAGTTGTTGCTAAGCCTTTGTAGGCAGCCAGCAAAAAGGAGCGTGATAAAACTTTATTCTCAGAACTGAGCTTATGACATCAGTGATGTTAATGGTAACAGAAAATTATTGCAGCAGTTATCTTGCAGGTAGATTTCTATATTCTGAGCAGTAAATAGCAGGGATAACTATTTATATTTCAGTTTTGAAAAGAAGTTCTATTTTGGAAATTGGTTTAAGACTCTTATATACATATATTCAAATTAATAAAAATATTACTATGCATATTATTATTCATATGTATGACAGTATCCTGGAAGGAAATGGGGATTGGGCTGACTGTTGAATTAAGGCACTTCTCTAAATTTTTTGGTTAATAAGACTTTGATCCCATACAAGGATCATGGGATTTATTGATGTATTTTAGAAAAAGCAAATAGGTTATACTTAAACCTATACTAATTAATCTTTAGTAAATAGACTGCTTCAAATGTTTGTTAGAGCCCTTTTCAAAAATAAACTCTTCCATTACTTCTGACCATTTTGTTGGTCCCATTCTCAAAAGACAAGTGTCTGCAATATAGATACCAGGGTTGATAACTGCTTTGACAGTTCTAGTAACCTGATAGGTTGAATGCACATAAAATACAAGTATGCCATTTCGTGCTTTGAAGTGGCTTCTCAATTTTAGGTTTGAGGAATACTCTCAGAGCAATAAAAAAAAAAAGTTGGTGCAATCATTTATACTGTCCCCCTCCCTTAGAATAGAGCTGCTTATCACCTAGAATCTGCATGACATGGAAGAAAAAATACTGGGATGAATTATAGCCTACTGGGTAGACTCTCCATGAACTGTGGAAAAGAAGAAAGCTGTATTTTGTTGCTTTGGGCACTGATGAAAACATTGGTGGTGATTTAATTCCTCAGATTTACAAACAGTTCAATTTCAAGGAGTTATTTGGGAAAATTTCTAATTGGATTTGGAAGATGGTTAGGAATAAAGACAAACTGCAGGTGCAGCTACTAAAATGCAGTACAGACAATTGCAAGGTGTGGGAGTATAGTATAATGCTGCTTTTCTATTAATAAAAAACGAATGTAGAATTAATATAGCAACACTTGCAGAAAATTGTGCTCTCAGTCAATACAAAGAGGGCTGATTAGAGTCTAAAATGATTATGTAAAGGGTGATTTAAAAAGATTTGATGAAACCAAGCAGCAAGACTCTTGGTGAAATGCTAGTCTTCCCACTTTTCTGCCTTTGCTACCCTTTTCCCTCTCCTGCCCCACACTCTCCCCTCACCCCAACAACAAAATGCAAGCAAAATTACAGCATTGTGAAATTCCTACCAGAACATTTATGACTAAACCTTTTAACAGCTTCTATCTACCTTGTTAACCTCCAAAAGTAGCTTCTGAAAAATGAAGCTACCCAGCCAGCCTGTGACATTGGGAAAGTCATTTTCTTTCCTTTTTTTATACCAAGAACTTCAAATGCCTTGAGATAACTACAAGGTATAGGGAAGGTGGGGTTCTCTGGCTACCTCTTCTTCAGTTTCCCCATAATGTATGTAAGAAATAATGATTAGTAGCAGGTAAATACAATTGTAAAAGTTGAAGGGTGACTGACCTGTATAGCTGTGAAATGTCTCTACTATTTTTCATAGCTTTTCCAAACTTCAGCAGATGACATGCTGCTTCCCAGGCTTATTACAGCACACGGGTATCTGAAAAATAGAAAATAATGCTGACCAGAGTTGTCTCTGTTTCTCTATTGATGCTTGGAACATTGCAGCAACAAACATCAGAACTGTTCATAAAATCAAAAAGGCTGGCTGCATCAGTTTTATTTTGGCAGGTTATTTTTCTCAATTCTAAATTCTAGAAACTTTAATTTTGAACAAAACTCAATTGACAGAATTTCATGTAGATCTGCTTTTTCCTAATCCATAAACATCCATAAGAAGTGAGATTTCTCATTCATCACTGAAATTTCCTAGGCATCATTTAAAATATGTAATAATTCCACATCTGTTCTTTAGATAAAGACCAGGATTGTCAGTATATGGTCATCTTGTAAATTAGTTTAACAGTATTGATTATATTCCAATGGTTTAAATGCACGAGGTCTTGGGATCTCAGACCTCATTCTATATTGGCTGAGACTGGTATTATATTGCATATGATAAATTAAATGTATAAGGGTCCTGATCAGACTGGTTATTTAGTGTTGGTAAGATGTATAATGAACCTGAAAACGTTCTCTTAGCTCCATCAGCTTTTTGTAAAAATGATTGCACACTTGGTTACCATGCATTCATTTAGACCTGAATCTCTTGGAGACATTGCCATTATTATTTGCTTGCTTGAGTACTTTCACAAAGATCACTTCTTTCTGTGGTTACCAAGTGCCTAGCATTACTGCAAACAAAAAATAGGCAGGAAAACAAACCAGTATTTAGAGAGAAACAGAAGCAACTGTATGGCTTTCCATATACAGTATATACACTGGTTTCTAAATGATCTGAGTCTCTGAGGGGTTTTCATTATTGTTTTACAACATTCGCGACCATTTTACAAACAAGAAAGAACGTGAAGAGGTGTGCCCCCTTTCTTACTACGTAGCAGAGTAGCTATGAGAGTTGTATCATTAGTCCATGACCTTTACACTGAGATGTCACTTAATTTTCTTCTTGTATGGTAGAAAATATTAATTTCAGAATTTGGTAAGATCACAAAACTATCAATGTAACAGATGTATGATGTATGAATTATTTGAGCTTAATGTTATGCTGCATATAGTCTGAGAGAATGTTTTAAATGTATGGAAGTAATTAAACATCCTAATTTGAGTATTTGTCACAGCACCATCAGAGTTTTGGAATGCTGTTGTGTACTTGTTGGGCCTGATTTTCAGTGCATTTCATCTGAAGAATATTTCCCTTTTTATGATTTTCTTGGTTTCATGCAAAATAAAACTTGTCCCTAGCAACATTTACAGGTTCTCCTGAAGACAGAATTTACGGACTCTGAATGTTTAACTATATACAAAAAATTTGACTTTCATTTTGAATTGTCCGTATTGTAAATTCTACATTTTCTCATGCCAAATCTATTTGTTTCCTCACTTGCAAATGAAATTGAAAACAGCTTCATTTCCCTTAATCTGTTTAAATAAGTGAAGGTATGGATTTCTTTACTTTTCATGTTGCAGATTTAATCCAAACCTTTAATCCAGTTGTTGGAATTGAATCCTTTGTTATATTTTAAGACATTTTGTATGTTTCTGTTAACAGGCTGTTGCTGTTGACAACCTGTACATTACTTTTAATGAGATATCTTATGCACAACACTGCTTTGCTGTTACATGTATTCCTACAAGGGTTTTTAACATTTTTGGATCAGTGTACCCCCAGTGGCTGGACGCGGGGTGGTGGGGAGATGGCACACGGATGGACCCGGGCGGGGCGGGGGAGGTGCATGGCTGAATATTGAGCAGTGGCAGCTGCCAGGTGTGAGCTTCCCCTGTGTCTGGCCAGGTGGGCAGCGCCTGCACAGGGTGGTGTGTGGCACTGTTATGTCCCCACCTGCCCGGACCCCCTAGGGCCTTCTCAAATACCCCTGGTTGACAACCCTTGTATTATTATATTTGCAGTCCTTTGAAATCTAATCCAGTAAGTGTCCTGTTCATTTCAGTAAGGTTGCTTAATAAAACTACTTTCTGACATTATAGAATTAGTAACAGACCTGTGATTTATGAAACTGGCAGAGAATTATGCATTAGCAAACTTCCAAGAAAATACTAGCCTTATAAAAAGTCAAAATGTGCAAACTTTGTTTTGTAGTAGTGTTTTCCTTCTTCCCTTTCATTGGCCACATCTCCAAAGTTGGGAAGATTAAGTAGTGATAGTATTGAGCCATATTGTAGAAACAATTCTCTTGCAGACAGGTTGGTATTGTAGCAAAGCTAAAATGGGTACATTAACTTTTCCTGAAGAGTGATTCCTGCTAAAATTATCCTTATTTTCTGTTTTTCCGTTCATTGCCAGCCTAAGATTACAACCCTGTGGTTTTTTTACTTTGTTTCTCTAATTTCGAGATGTCTGTTATGTCCCTTGTTCTCCTGGTCCATAAACTGCCCCACAGATGAAGTATTAAGATAAGCAACCCATTTTTTACTGAGGGCAAAGCTATAGTTGCCTGAACTGAGTACTTACTACATTGGCTTTTTTTTCCAGGTTATATATTTTGTTCCCGAATAGCCTGTAGAAATCTGTTCTGAATTAAAGCCTTAGTGTTGTAATGCAGATTATAAAAAAAATACTAAAATCTTGAGTTCTGGAGCATAAGGTTGTAAATAAAAGCATACTTTTTTTTTCATTTTATAAAGATCTTTCCTCTGAGAATTCTCTGCAAACATTATTTGAGGCTTTAAAATATCATAGTGAAGTAAAGTTATCTCATCACCATTACAGATAGGTAAATTGAAACACAATGACTTGTCCAAAGGCAAGCAGCAATGGCTTGTTTCCTGATCCTTTTCTTGGTGAATGAGAATTTCCCTGTCAACTTGCTAGGCCTCCAAGGCATTAGTTTTTACAGACGTTTGGAAAAAAAAAAATAAGGCTTTAAGACTTTATGGTTGCAGTAGTGCCTTCCTAAATGGAAACTAGCTGTAAACTAGGACAAAGTAGTATTGTAAATTCAGCAAATCCCCCTATGGCCTCTGGAACATGAGGATTTGGATCAGTAGCACTGTTGTTACTTTAAACTCTCAAGTTTCCCTTTACTTGTATGTTACACTTGTTTTGACAGGAGGAAGACCCAAACCGGAAGTTGAGGCAGAGCCAAAATAACAGTTTATATTCCTTTTGTAGCAGCCAAGAGACTGTGAATGGGGAGAATCTTGAGAAAGAAAGAGACAAAAAAAAAAAAAAGAAACAAATTTACTTATTATGGATTATGAGAAACAAGCTTCAGTTAGAGGCTGGGGATTTACACTATATCCTGAAAGAATCAAGCAGGCAGGCATGCATATATATATATAAAAAACACACACACACACACACACACACACTGAAAACAGGCATGCCTTATGATTATGTGTAAATAGATTGTGATGCTGAATTTTGTATTTTAGACATCGCGATCTTCAAAGAAGGTTCATAATTTTGGAAAGAGGTCAAATTCAATAAAGAGAAATCCTAATGCACCAGTTGTGAGACGGGGTTGGCTCTACAAGCAGGTACTATTTATTTCTATATTTATTTAATCTGTTGATTTATTACTTTGTTGACTAATATATAGAGGGGTTTTGAGAAACATGTTACTAAAATGTTGAAATGAAGGTAACTACCTTTCCTGTGGCATGTGCGTTGCTTTCATTTACTTGATTTTACCAGGTAAGTGAAATATGCTCTGAATACAAATGAATAAAGGCAGTTAAGTAGTAGAATGTCAGGCTTTCGTTTCTGCATTTCTTTAGGGAGAAAAGCACACTGCTATGACTAGGGGCCTACTTAATTCGCAGTTTTGTGGTTTTCGCAGAAACTGTGGAATCCAGGATTGTCTGCAAAGTTAACAATAACAACAATTTTTTAAATGTAATGCCAGCTCCACAGTGAGTGCCAGCAGTCCTTGCTGCCAGGAGGGGAAGACACCAGCTGACGGCCCAACACAGAGGGCAGCAGGCAAGATGGCAGCCCCCGAGGTGTCCTTGCCAATCGGTATCAAGGGGCAGGGTAGCATTGGGGAAGTCAGCAATCAAGATGGCAGACACCACTTTGTCCCTTCTCCCCCTTGGGGCCTCTCCACCAATCATCACAGAGGGGCAGCAAGCCCCTCCTTTCCTACCCCTGACCTCTCCACCAATCAGTATCAAAGAGCGAGGCTGCCGTGAAATGCCCACAAAATCAGCTCTGCAGGCCACAAAAAATGTTTTGTCTTACCACAATTTAAGTAAGTCTCTGGCTATAACTTCAGGTATGTGCTTCTGTCCATAGGCCCATCTTTTATCTTTCTCCCTCCCTCTCACACAAATACATACTGGGAATGTTCCACTAGGTTAATAGATCATAACCTTGTTGAGAAAATGGGGCAAGTATGAGTGGCCAAATATATTTCTATTTCTCATTTGGAGGCTGCTAGTAGAGGATAATTTTTTACTTGGAACACCCCTAATCTGCTCATCTCACTGTGCTTTGTTAGTCACTAGTGTTCATTTAGCGGGAGATTTTTCAAAAGCAGTAAGCAGGTGCTTAACTCCCTTTTAAAAGTCTATGGTTTAACTTCCATTTCTGCCTTTGAATAGGTCCATCCACCTGGCATGACTTCTTGCAGTTGTTACCTTGCTCTCAGGCAAAGATGACTTATTTCTGTGGTTACCAAGTGCCTAGTGCAGCCTATTTAGAATCAAGGCACCACTCAGAAAATGCCACTCTTAGCTTGCACTTATTTTTTGAGGATGGAAAAATAATGGAGCAATTCTTCTGTTGGAAATAATTCAGGCTACAACGGGTCAAAATGTTGTTGCCCCCATATATTCCTCTTTGAAATCTTCTGGTTTGTCTTATTTAGTTGTTTCCAAGCTAAACAGCACTAATATTGTGCAGCACCTTTAAAAGTATTTTGTTGTACACTGGCCTAGCACATTGTATATTACTAGAAACGAATGATAAGCAGGAAAACACCTGAAAAAGAACACCTGCATTTGAAAGCTTGTCTAAATCTATCCCAACCATGCAGCTGGTTCAACAAAAGGTACTGCCCACAAAAATCTTCACCTCTTGCATATTTTCTGGACCACCATGGCTACAACATCACCCCAGCACTATGAAGACAAACTAATATTTTCAGAGGAAAACACGAGTATCTGTGTCTGTGTTCATATACATGCATTGGATTATAAATTGCCATGGATAGTTAGGTTGGCTCTGACAGGATCACCTGACCTTAGCAGTAGTTTTCTATACTTTTTGTGGGCTTATAACTTAAAACTGTTAATCAGTTATCTACATTAAACGTAATTTGAACTTAATGTGACGATTGTAGTAGTGATATTTGTAATTTAAGTGGATCTTTCCTGATTCATCTATTTGTGGTGGGTAATAAAGGACCATGATAAGGATGGGTTTATTTGGGTTTTCCTCAGCATTACTTTTTTTATTTGGAAAAAAAAAATGTTTTGTATTCCTGAAATAATTGCTTTATTTTATGCTAACCTCTTAAAATTTTAGTTTTATCAGGTGGAAAAAATATCGGGCTAGGAAAAAGCTGGCCATATCAAATAGATCTTAACACCTTTTAGTCATGTTCAAACTATTATTTTGCTAAAATATGTTGCATTCTGTTGTTCTGCAGAGGTACAGGATGGCAAAATTCAGCCTGTAAAAAACCTTTGCTGTTGGTGACGTGGGAAAGGCTTTTTGGACTTGTAGATTCCTGTTTGAATGTGAAGGCATGACATTTAAAGCTAGAGATAAACTTGTTGTTTTTCCTTTACTGTTAAACTTTAGGCTGTTAATGCAAATGATTTATATCCTTGCATTGATACCATTCAGTGACTATGAACCTTGTTTAGATTTGTTATTTTACAAAAATATTTTTAAAAAATATTATTATTAGGTCTACATGCTGTGCCCATTTTTATCATGAATGTTATCACACTTTGTTGATCAGGTAATTAATTCTTGGTGCTACTCAGTAATGAGCCCTTAAAATTGAATCAAGACTTCTGAGCTAGGGGAATATACAAAGTAAACTACTGATGTAATGCTACCCAAGGCAAGCCTACCTTCAAACAGATATTTTAAAGTTTTACCAAAGCATGCTACCAGAGTGATAATGAGATCATTAGTATTTCTGCAGTAAACTTATTTCACTTGCATATTTTTTCTATATTTTTTAATAGGAGATAAAGTAATCTTCAAGGGGCTAAATGTCCTCACCAATTTTTAATACCATGATTGTTTGTTCTTGCCTGTCAGGGCAATTATGTTTCTTAAACCACAAAAATAAAATGAGCTGCTCCTGCAGAAAAGATAAACATTAATAGCAGTGCTTTAGATAACTGATAATTTATTTGATATCATGGTGACGCTTTTGAATGATGGTTGTGTCAGTTTTGTAATCTTAGAAAGCAAAGAGATCCTTGAGTTCAACCCTCTGCTTGTAGAATCATGCATACCTCTACAGTTCCTGACAGTGTTTGTCTACTTTCTTGTTAAACCTTTAACGATAGCGATTTTGCAACCTCTCTTGAATGTCTGTTCCAATCTGAACTATATATTGTTAGAACTTTTTTCCTCCGCAGAGGGGATTGGGGAATTAACGGTGCTCGAGCCAGCCCCAGCAGGAAGAAGAGGGTGTGGCCCAGTTGCATCTAGCCGCAAGGATCCCCAGTTTTCTGCATGAGGCTCAAGGTTTGGGGATTTAGCAGTGGGGGAGAGCTGCTGTATTTCTTGCCACCTGTCCCCTGCGGCCAGACTTCCCGATCCGTGTGGAGCCCTACAGGCCAGATGCCTATGGCTCGGGGGGTCATATTTGGCCTGTGGGCTAGAGGTTGAGCATCCTCGTATGTATGGATACAGGATTTGATTTTCTTAAAGCATCAAGGTTTGTTGCATGTTGGAGTGTCAGTGGTTGTTATGTATGCTTACCACCCTTGCATGTTGACATTTGCACGCATTGTTGTTGAAATCCATTTCCCAGCACAAAATTGCAGTAAAAATATATACAAAAGTGTGAGAATGGGTGTTGACCTGTGCCCTGTTTTTTGACAATGAGCCCGGTGTATGTCAAAGCCTAATCTTACAGTTTTGATGGTAGAGGAAGTGTATGGCTATATAGAGATGTTCTCATACAATTTGCGTTGTCAGATTTTACTATTTTCTTTCCTAGTTAGTTACCAAATCTTGATTTTTTTTTTTGCTGATACAGAACCAAAGAAACCAGATCATATGAATACCCATTGTGGTTAGGAGCATATCTGATGTGTAGTGAAATAATCCAGTGTTAATTCAAGTATGTTTCCGTTCCAGATGGGATGTCAATGTACCTTAAGCACTCTTCCTTTTTCTCTTCCTCCATTTCTTCTCTTTCATACATGCATGATATTCTTCTTTCTACTAGAGCCTGTTCCTGTCCTAGTACAATATGTACTGAGCTTACAATATTGTCATAAATAAAATAAATAAATGAAAACAGATCGCCTTTAGTTGACTAATTTGTTGAGCAAAAGTGCTAAAATCTGCAACAAACTTATCCTGAGGACACTGGACAAACTTATCCTGAGGTGTATCACTGTTTCTTGGCTTTTTTTCCTTTGGTATTTCTTTTCATGTTTCCTCTAAAAAGTTTGCATCCTAACATGGTATTGTATTGTGACCCAACAAAGGACTCCCACATATAAACAGTGTCCAATGGGAAAGGGGTTAAATCAAGATGAATCAAATAAACATTTCTAGTGTTTTTTTCCTTTTTAAATACTTATTTAATTTTTATCAGGAGTGTTTTAATTAGTGTTTTACTGTGAATGTAAAATCAAAAGCCCTACGTATAGTTAAAACATTGTCAGAAAGGTCCCTAACTCCAAAGAGCCCTAACTCCATTCAGTAAAGTAATACTGATTTTGTGTCATGTTTGATAGATTTCACCATCATGAAGGATAACTGTTTACCTAGATGATTCAAAGAGCATTGTGTGCCAGTGTAATCAGACTATGCAAAGAAGACAGAGAGTTAACTTCCATTGCATTTCTCACCCCAGTATTCTCACTTTTTATGCAAAAATGTCCTTGTAATGCACTTTTATAGGAGGATATAGTTTTGTTGCTAAAACAAATTAATACTTATCGAATGCTCTGGTGTTTTATTCTTTCTTTGGGATAAAAGGGATTTGTAATGCGTTTTGCCAGGTTGGGGCACCCGACTAGCATTGTAATATTCAAGAATGAAAATCTTCTAAATAGAGGATACTTTTGCTATGGAGAAATTAGTAAATTAATTTATACCATTATGCTAATTTTTCCAAAAGTTGTCATCTCCTTATTTACTAAGCTAGAACTTGCAATTTAAAAAAGGATTTATATCTTATTCACAAATAAAGACAACAGCTGTTGGATTTCTGGGTAAATGTTGGAGGAGGCTTAGACACAAACTGATAATAACTCATTTGAAGATTTCATATGGGAAAGAGATGCTCTAAATTTCCATCATGTGAATGTAACCGCAATGATGGTGACTCAGGTCAGCTTACAATTAAAATAAATACAGCTTACTCTCTCTCACTGTATAGTAATTGCATTCTTAGCATTCTCTTTCAATTCTGGTTCCTGAATCTGCTGGGGTTTTCCTCATTCTTGTACTGTTTGTTATCAAGTTGTATAATGAGATATAACCACAACTAAAAGGAAAGAAATAGTAACCTATTCTGTACATGAAAAAGTGTTTTAAAACAGCATAGGATTTGCAACATCAGAATCATTATTTCCACAGTCCTATGTCCCTTCTTATTTTAAAGAAAGACGTAAAGAAGATCCATAATACTTCCGACAGGTTGTACAATTCTGCATCTGGTTTAGGATAGCGGTGGCCACTCTGCCTTGCATGTGCCACAAGTGACATAAGGAGCTAGTGTGTTTAGCATGCAAGTTCTGGATGCTGAGTTACAGAGATCAGGGTTCAAGGCAGCCCTCAGGGAGAGTGTAGGAGTCATAGGACCCACAGGAGCTGCAGAGGAGGTGCAACCAAATTCAGAGTTGCCATGACACGCTAGAAGGGTATGGCAGTACTGGACCATGCCAGTGGCTGATCGTTAGAGTGGCATTATCTCATAATATGTACTTTAATTTGTGGCATACTTGCCAAATGGTTGGCCATGACTGGTTTAGGGAATCTTTTGGACACTGATTAGCAGATGGGTGAGGCTGTTTTAAACAATTTCTTAAACCTATTAAATAGGTTAAATGCCTCTAATAGACTTTCAGAGGGTTGAAAAAATTCTTTGGATTCAAGATGTTTTGTAAACACTTTAAAATCTGTTAAAGTGCTAAAGCACTGTCCCGGGTTTCAGGAGTCTTGTAATCTCAGTTCTGCCATTGACATAGTTTATGACTTTGATTGAGCAAGTGATTTCTTCTTCTGCTTGCTTCTCCATCTGTGAACTAGGAATTGAATACCCCAAACAGTGTTATGCGACTTAATTAATTAATATTTGTAAATCGCTTAAAAATTCTCTGAAGCAAGGTGCTATAAAGTCCCTGGTATTCTATTTATGAAAACGTTCAGTGCCAGAGGATTTGCTAACTGTAGATAAAATTATTCAGAAAAAGTTGGTTTTATACTGTGGCTAATACTTGTTTTTACCTATGGGAAGAGAACTTGAAAAGAGACACCAAGATATTTGCTGACTTGACTTAAGGGGAAAAAAGTACACACGCGCACGCACATCTTTTCATCTGTTTGAGTATATTTAAAGCTTTGAGTTTTACCATAGGGCCACCCTTCTTGGATATCACTTAAAAACCTATTTACTGCATGCATACTTAAAATTCTCACACCCCTTTATTTTTGTAGAACATTATTAACTTATTTATTTAATCAAATTTTACCAAGATGTGCACACTTGCAAAGCTTCATCTTATTTACTCTGCAGTAGTGGTAACAGCCATTCGTTCTGAGAAATGCATTACCAATGGGTTATAAACATAAAAGCAGATGAAATTGCTTTAGGCATAAACTTGTGTTGAAGAGAAACTTGCTTTATTTGTGCACGTAGTCATGGAGGATGGAGTTTGGCAGACTCTTGATATAAAAGGCAACAAAGGGTAAGGATAGCTTTTCAGGTATTAGCTTATATTTTATAGCTCCATTTAAAATATGTATATGTCTTTTTCCTCCTTCCTATTCGCAATGAATTGCTTTTATTTAGCTTCTTAAAATAATAGACTTGCATTTAATTTACTTTTCAGTCAGAGGAACTGTATTTTCTGGATTATCATCTGTGTTTTGAATGCCAGTGCACTTAGTCAAGATAATAACTAGATAGCACAGCTTCACAATATAAAAAAAAAAAAAAAAGTATACCAGTTCTCAGTGTAAACTATTAATTCTTGATTGTCCAGAAATGCTTATTTGTATACTTTGATTAAATGCAGGATAGTACTGGAATGAAGCTGTGGAAGAAACGGTGGTTTGTACTTTCTGATCTGTGTCTATTCTATTACAGAGGTAAGTTGAACACTGGAAATCAAGGAAAAAATAATTATCTCATTATGATTAATTTGGCTAATCTCGCCTTCTTCCTCCCTTTCCCTTGGCTGCAACTACATGTTTAAAATAATTACTGTTCTTCTGAGAAGGAAGAAAAGAAGCTGTTGGTTTAACTTGGCATTTAAGATCAAGTTAATAGAACTAGCTGCACTTTCCACAACTGTTCAGTTGTTAACAGCATGGGTCATATTTTTCTCAGACAGGTAGGGCATATATGTACACTATAGATACAAATACTTCACCCCTCTGAGAGCAATTTATTACTTACTTGAGTTTCCTACTAAGATGCACCAAAAAGTAGTTTGACTTCCACTGCAAAAAATTTAACTGACTATGTAAGGTTGAACAGAGAATGAAAGAGGGTACAGACTCTGAGCTTTGGGATGGAAGAGAATGGAGGTGCTAAAGGCTTTTCTGGAACCTAAACAACTCTTGTAGAATATTCACTTGGTATCCATGAGGTGTATTTTCCAATTTCTCGCAAATAGAAGTTTGTGCTGATTTTTTTTTAAATCTAAAAATGTAGCCCCTGCCCTACTAGCAAACTTTAATTCTGCTCCACAGGACTTCCAACAGTGTGGATTTGTGAAAAACCTTTTTGTAAGAATGCTGAGATCTTCACATAATGAAATGTTATTGACTATGGTGCCCTTCAGAGAATACTTGAGTCTGGCATATCTACCATATTGTATTTATTTTACAATATGAAAAGACATCCAACCCAATTAGAAGTAGCCACTGTAGCAACACTTTCAAGAAGAGTGGAAGGAAATCAAAGAGCAGGGCAGATAAGTAAATTATACTTATTTACAGATAAGTAAATTAGTGGGCAAGTTTCATCCAGAAGGTTATAGCAGCGTAAGTAGTATTTCTATCTGCCACTTCTGTTGCTTTTGGTGAAATAAGAACCAGGAACTTATTATATTAAAAAAGTCAGTATGAAGTACGTGGCTTATGCTTTCTCATGAAAGAAGAGGAGCAAGCCACAATCTAGATACTCAAAACTGGTTAATAGTTCTGGCAATGACAGTGGTAGTATGGCATTTTCAATTTATTTTGAGTGAAAATTGTCCTTGTCTTAAAAAATGTAGTACACATCCATGCCAGTTGAGGTAAGTTAAGTTTTCAAGCATGAAAGCTTTGTTCTTGTACCTCTTATCAGTTTACAAATTCTAAATTTTTGGAAGAGAGTCATCATGCTTTCATTATCTTGCCCGAAAAAAATTATATGTTACTGAATAAACCACTGCCAAGTTGAAATTAGTGTACTTGGTGAGACGCTGTAATTTCAGTCATGGAGACATTGGTTGAGCTGCAATTACATTGCATTTAGCTAAGTGACCAGTTCATATTCTTTGTTTTTTTTTGTGAGGCCTACCCTACTTTAAGGAAGTTCTTGAGACTTTTCACCCATAATATTCCAAAAAAAGAAGTTATTTTAGTTGTAGTAGGAGAAATCATGGGCTGCTTGGTTGGTCTAGAATATTAAACAGTAAATAAACTATACATTCAGAGCTCTGTATTGCTAAATTTTTACTAAATTAAAGTGTGAATCTTATGTTTGGTAAAAACAACAGAAATGCAAATATGGTTGTCTAAATTGGATACAGTTAGAAACTGAAGCTTCCTATAACTGATAGTTCCATTACTGGTAAATAGTTAAAGCATATGTACTCAAAATAACAGGTGTTTCAGCAGTGGCTTAAAGGTATTAGAAATGGTTATTAAAAATACAAATGTAAACCTTATCCATTGAAGTTCTTTCCTTAGCATAATGCTATCTTATTTGAGGACTCAGATGAAAAAGGGTGGGTGGGGAGGGGGAGAAAAGTATTGTTAGACTGCAAACAATATTTGTGGTTGTCTCTGATTGTAATACCAATTGGTAAAGCTTGATATGGTTTATTCAGAAATTTTACCATCTTAAAAAGTAAATGCCTAATCCTAATTTAAGGATAAAAAGAAAACTGATTTCAGTGTAAATTTTCACTGCTTGGAGTTTACTGTTTATCTCTTTCTCTGGAGATAAAATAATGACTGCTTTAGCATACAGAAAAGGTATTGTAACAAATAAAACATCTTACTGAAGAAGAAAAGATTCTCCATTTTTTGTTATATTATTCATACCCTGCATATAAATAAAGATGAATGCAGGGGGCATATATAGAAAAAAGTCATATGCTAGGAAACAGAATTTAAAAGTCTTAAAATGGAATGCACCAATGTTCCCCTAGCAAAGAAACCTAGGCCTCGAAACACATAGCTGTTCTGCTTAACAGTATGAATAATGAACATGGTAGTAGTGAATGAGACTTGCCTGTGGAAAACAAGTCAAAGTTTAATCTAGCTAAAAAAAAAATGTCTCCAAGCACACCAGTGAAGGAAAAAAACCCAGTTATGTTTTGAAGGATTATTCTGCATTCTTCAGTATGGAGAGAAAATGTCCAGGAGCATAGTTAAGTGTTTATCAAGGGATACATGTTTATTTCTGTTGCTTTCAAAAGTAGAAAGTAGGTTATTCAAGAGTATCTGTAAGGCCAACCCTGTTACTATTTTTTATTTAATCAAGACAGCACTTCCCATTTGTATTAGTTAAAAAAAAAAAAAAAAAAAAAAAAGGCAGTTAGCAGTAGCAGCAATAGCAGTAATCTGTATTCTAATATCAAGTGCAATGCTTATTATTCAGTAAAGGCCTGGCTTCTGTAACAACTGCTGTAACAAGGTAGCTTCTTGGAGTTTAATGGACTTTTGGGAACCAAAAACCCCCAGTTTTTACGTGGATTTAAGACAGTTCTTTCATGTTGCCTATATATAGATTCCTGTAGTTCATTAAGCTTCAGCAATAACAAGCTTGTTGTTGTTTAGATTTTTTGTCGCTAGCATTGAAGTTCAAACATTTATTATGGGCAATGTTTTATAATTAGCAAAGCTTTAGGGCGCAAACATGAGGCATGGGTTGTGAATAGCAATACAGTACCTGGAAAAACAATTAAGATTGACTTAGTAAATTGCATTCAATTATGCTTTTATTAAATGCATAATTAGATTTCAGAACAGGTTGTGACATCAAATTAATGTGTCAGATTTGTACTATTCTGCTTTAGCTTTTTGTGCCTAGATTTAACTTTCTTTATAAAACTAAACAGTTCATGAGAGCGAGTCTTTGTTAGAAGGTTATCTGCCCAGTGTATACTATAGGTGTGCCAATACTGTATAGCAAGTTAACACTTTAAAGGAATGTAAGTATAGCAAGCATAAATCCTGTTATGTTATATGGGATTTGAAACCTTCAGTCTTCTAATATAATATGCTAATAATCTAATCTAATATCAATAATTGGGAAAGATAAGCAAGTTGTACTGAATAAACAGTAGACTGGAAGTGGTTCCTTTTTCACTGAGTCAGATGATTGGTTTTCTTCTATTTTTCACTTTTGCATTCCTTTGTCCTATGGCATTGATCCTGTAAACATTTGTAAATTGGAGTACTTATATTGCCGTAGTGGTTTCAGTGGGGTAATTGACATGCATAAACCTTTTTGGGTTCCTAGACTTCATTTAATGCTAGTGTAAATTATTACACGAGAAGCAAAGCAGAGAGAGAATCTGATTCCATGTCTTTCTCTGTCACCATTTGTCTTCATATCATAGATTTTAGAAACATTACCTCTCAAGAATAGGGAATGAAAGTAAATAATTAAAAATAAAGTAAATTAAGAAATACCTATTACTGGCTTTTTATTCCTTTTTCCATGATGCATCTCTTAATAAAATACCTAAGCAGTCCTGTCTGCCCTGTAATCATTTATATGTCTGTGTTGTTAAAATGTTCATCTCCAAAGAAACAATGTGCAGAAGATACCTTGCACACACTGTTATAAAAGGTTTATATTTGGCCATCTGATGGCACAGTTGTTCTGTTGCAGTTTACCTTGTAGGCTTCATGTTGAGCTTAGAAAAGTGCTATCATTGTGCTTCACAGTTGTAGTTAAAGGCACATATCCAGAACTCTTTCTCTGTGCATTGCATATGAATGCTGTAGTCCACTTTGGCATAATACATGCTCGTGTTTCTGTCCCTTTAAGATACATTTCCACTGAAAAAATACAAGTTTAGGAAGTCATGTTAACTGCAGGTTCTTTAGCTTTGATTTTTCTCCAGTACTCGCAATGGCTCCCTTCTGTTGCAGGAGCATTAGTGACTTCATAGTTAAGTTAATGTTGAGAAATGTAGTTAAAGTAGGATTAAAATCCTATTTTCCACTTTAGTGATAGAGATTATTGTTTGAGTTTAATACGTATATTCAGAGAAAAGGAATTTTCCATACTTTTGGTTAGCAAATTATTTATTTAAAAATGTTCCCCCCTCTCCCCCCACAGCAAATAGTCTTTGGTTTCCCAAAAGGAAGGCCTGGTCTGACTAATTTTAGTATGATGTGGGACACAGCAAAGCCCAGAGAGGCTGGGTAGGATATGTACATAGTGGGAGGCATATAATGTGCACAAACATTCACCCTCCCAGGAGAAAACTCCCTGGAGTGATTTAACCCTGGTTGTTGCCAAGTTATTTTTCTCCAGGAGTGGCCATCTTACTCTAGCATAAGAGTCCTGAATACCTATATGCTCAGGGATTCTCCTGGGAGAGCAGCAACTCTCCCAGGTGAAACTGTCTTCGTGTGGCCATAGAAGAAGAGTGGCCAGTTAAGACGGTTTTGTGCCAAACCAGCTATAGAACTGGTTGCATGTAGAGCCACTCTCAACTGGTTTCCTGGTTGATTCTGAAACCTAGTTCACTGCCCCTGTGCACCAACTGCCTAGTCCTCTCTCTTTCTCCTGCTCAAGCCACAGAAAGATGAGATGTTGTACTACAGGTACTCTTCACTTAACCTCATCCTGGCTAAGGTTATTTTGTTACTATATCACTGATCTATTAGAGAACATACTTGTTTAAAGTCATGCAGTGTTTGGTTGTAACATTGTTTGGCCTCTGCCTGCTAGTAGGTAACTACTGTGATGTAATTGGATTCACTTAACACCATTTTGCTTAAAGTCACATTTTTCAAGAACGTAACTATGACGTTGTGAGGAGTAGCATTCTTTTTAGTATCCTCTCTCAAAGTTGATCATCTGTTGTCAGCTCTTGAATCAAGTCAAATGCTTTTTTGATTTTCAGTAGAAAATCAGTAGATGTGAAGGAAGAGAGGAAATGTGTCTGACTGTATATAGGAATATTTGTTAATCTAAGCAAATGTTATATCTTTTTAGATGAGAAAGAAGAGGGAATATTGGGGAGCATACTTCTACCTAGTTTTCAGATAGCTGTGCTTTCTCCTGAGGATCATATTAACCGTAAATATGCTTTTAAGGTAAGCTTTATCCATTTTCATTTTGGCATAAATAGCCTGGGGTTGAGACCATTTCTTTATTATATATTTATGCAAGATAGATAGAAACTGCCTCTGAGATTGGCTTTGCATGGTACTGTATGCACTTGATCCATAAATATAGTAGGACCATGTGTTTGTTGTGAAGGCAGGCATGCATAATTGTTTGACTTGAAAAAGGAGTTAACAAGGTATATTTCATTTCTTAGCAAGTCCTTTATTTTTAGTTCACTGCTCTTTATAAGCATACCTTGGTATCATAGAACTGCAATCTTACTTCATAGCTGGATATATTTTCAGGTCTTAATAAGTGCTTCGTTGGTCCTTTTTTGGTTAGGGCACACATGCATTTGCTATCCTGTTGATGGATAAAAGCAATTAACATATTATTTTAGTACTTTACTCACAGTATCAGACACAATATTTTGTTATAAATGTTGTTTGGTAAATGTTTTAATCATAATTTAATCATTTTTCTCCCGACATGGAATTTCGTATTTTGGCTTCATTAACTACTTTTGGCTGTTCTTAATGACTGTTGAGCGATACAACACTGAGAATTATAAAGGTAAATACAGATTAAAATTTACTATACTGTTTAAATTATAGAAGTGTACAACTCTGTTTCTATACTGAACATTTGTGTTTTATAGCAATCAGTATTGGTTTTTTTGATAGCTAAAGGAAATACAAAGAGATGAAGCAAGATGCATTATCAAAGAAGTAACAGTGATAACAAATTTCTAGCTAATTTATTTGTTAATATAATTGCACTAAAAGAAAAACCTAAAAGTTCATTACATTTGCATTTGTTCCTATATAAATTATGTTCTAGAAATTATATTATTTTAATAAACCTAAAAATAAAGCAAAGATTACAGAGTGTACAAATAATAATGGTATTTCTCTTTTTTTCTTTTACAGAACCTTATTTTTGACCATGTCATTTCCAATCAGGCAGCCCATCCAAACATGAGGACCTATTATTTCTGCACAGATACAGGGAAGGAAATGGAGTTGTGGATGAAAGCCATGACAGATGCAGCACTTGTGCAGACAGAACCTGTGAAAAGGTAATATAGGTTGACAAACCAAAGGAATAGCGTGTCACTTGGGTTCAATTCCGTTCATTTGTATGATTAAATGTGGCTTACAATCTAAAGTCAGGCAGGTAAGATGAAACCTGGGTAGTTTTATGGAGGTCTCCAGATGGGAGAATAGCTTTGTGAGGTATATTTTTAATGTATAAAATTCCAAAATGTTGTATTTTCTCACATACCACATGCTCCCAAATAAGAGAGAGACCCTCTTTTTGGAAGGCCACTTGTAAAAACAAAAAAAACCTTAGAGATGGCTTTTTTACTGCAAGGTTGTTCTGTAAAATGGCTGCCTCTTCTCCCTGAGATGGCATCAGACCCTTTTGCAGCTGCTGCCTAAATGGAAGTTCAGTACCAGGGATCGTGTTGGACTCCATCCCTGGTTATTTGATATCCCAGAAAGAAGGGACAGATTTCTTGCAGCACAACCTCTCCATACATCTAATCCTCCATGCTTCTGTTCAAGAAAAGGAAATCAGCTTCCCTGCTCAAGATGCACACCTCAGTTTTGGAGGGCTGATTTTTTGGGGAAAAGGTACCTGTGGTAGATGAATAAATATGGTAAGAAGATGAACTGTTCACTCTTAACCCTAAGTAGCTCTTCAAGCTAGTGTGGTTGGTGTGTACCAGTTTCTTTGACCAGTAGCACACAGTGGAACAGTGTGGCTAGTAATATATCCAGTCATTGACTTTGGTGGCTCAAATAACTAGTTACGATTTAATAACTGATTTGGCTTGTGGTGGGTTTCAGAACAGGTTTAGAAGGATGCTTGAAGTTACTCTGGATCCGTAGTGTGATGGTTTACCGCTTTTCACAGTTGCTTCCACATTACAGCTCTTTCTTTTGTTCTGAGATATGTTGTGATTAGAGGTGCACCAATATGTTTGTCTGATATCGGATTGGTACCAATACGAAGAGACTTGTCTACCTGGACTGATGGGGCCGATAATTTGGCTGATAAATGTCAGTGCTGCGTGCAGCTGCAGTGCAGTATGGAGCAAAGCCAGCAGCATGGAGAACTGCCTCTAGGTGGTAGGTCGGAAGGGGAGGGAAGGGACATGGTGGGGGCAGATCAATGCCCCCTGTGGTGAGGGAGGGGGCAGAGGAAGGTGCTGTCCAGGTCAGGGGGGAGGGGCACTGGGCAGAGGCGCAGCTCATGGGGGTACTGCCGCCACTGCTTGCACTGGGGGGGGGGCATGGCGGCGTGTGCCCCCAGATCTGTGGTATGGCATGGGCTGCAGCTGCGGGATGGAGCCAGCGCTGCGCAGGGCTTTTCTTGCTGGGGAATGGGCTCAGAGCAGGATTCAGCAGCACTGGGAGGAGGCTGCAGCCAACACATTTCACCGTAGCTCCACTTCCAGCCCTGTGCTGGCACAGCCACAGCTTTTCTCAGCGCTTGGGTGAAGGCAGGGCGTTCAGCTGGGGCTGTACCGGGTGGTGGTGCGGGGCTGGGAGCAGAGCTGCAGTGAAATTTGGGGTGGCTGTACACTGTTCCCAGCACCCCCAGAGCCCGCTCCAAGCCCAGCCTCTGGGGAGAAAAGCCCTGTGCAGCACTGGCTTGGCTCCACCCCACAGCTGCAGCCTGGTCTGCTCTGCACAGATCTGGGGGCATGCGCCCTCCCACCCTCTCAGGGTGCAAGCAGCAGCGGGAGCTGCCTCCACCCCACGAGCCACGCCTCGGTCCTACAGCCCCTCCCCCCCCCAACTGCCCCTCCCTCACCACAGGGAGTGTTGATCTGCCTCCCATACCTTTTCCCTCCCCCTCCCTTTCCACTATTCTGGACTTTCCATCTGGAGGCAGCTGTATCGGATATTGGATTGGTATTGGCCAGTATGCCTCCTTTAAATATTGGCTATCACTATCAGCCCTCAAAATCTCTATTGGTGCACCCCTAGTTGTGATGTAGCATTTTCTGGGTTGGAGTTTAAACTTTTGTACTTTAAACCAGTGCTGAAAAAATTATTTCAAATGATTTCCCTCACTTTATGCTGTACGTGCGTTCCTGGAAAATGGAACGTAACTCGAATTCCAGTAAAAGGAACCCACTTTTACAATATAAGAAATAGAGATACGTTCCAAGATTTCGACTGTATTGACCCCCAGACCCATTTCTACCACTGTTACAAGATAATTTTGGTACTCGCCAACAGCAGATAGTACACACAAGTACAGCTGTAACTTCAAAAGCACAGGCATCAGCTGCCCTGAGCAACCATCACGGTTGTGGCTGCTGGGTGGCTTCATAGCTTATGGCTCCCGAGGTGCCGTACTGACTAAGCTGGGCTGCAGGGGCCAGTGCTGCAGCCCAGCCCAGGCACCTCCACCTGGCTTACCCACCCCCCTATCCCCCCACAAATAATTTTTTCTTCCTCCGTCTATGGTGTCACTCCCACAATGCACTGCACAAGGCAGCTGTCTGTGGGCTTCCGCCATACCAATCACGGAAGTGTGAATTTACCTTGCATATAATGAAATTTTTGGTATAAAAAGGGTCATCACATAAGAGTGAATTCGCGCATACAGAACCCGCATAAATGGGGGAAACCTGTACAGTGTTTCCAGGAGCTTTGGTGATATTCTTCATTGCTTGTCCCTATATTAAGATTTTTTCTCTCATGTCTTCCATTCTCATTGCCAGTGGTTGAGCTTTATCATGGTAACTATGATGAGAACCTCATGATTGTTGTGAGCTTTTAAGTTTCTACGGTTTTTTCAGCGATGGGGAAATTGGAACATTGGTGGTTACTGATGCCTTGCCAAAACTGGTGTTGCCATCATTGGATCTAATTCATTGGTAATGTTGATGGGAAATTTCATAGAAAAAAAAATTGTTAAATGAGGGACCAAGAAAGAAGGGACATTGTCTACAGAAAGATGGGGCAGAAAAGCCCAATGCAACACACACATGGTATATTAAACACACTGTTGACTTATTCCAGCTTCAAGATTCTTGTGTCCTTGCTTCAGTCAGTGCACTGACAAAATTACGAAGTGTATTAAGAATGGTCTGACCAATGATACTAACAGTATTTTGAAGGCATTATGATGTAATAGGTAGTAATATTTTGAGAGCCTTTCCATTATAAGCATTTTTACTTTTACTTGTAGCAGTGTGGAAGGAATTACAGGGATGACTGCAACAGTTCAGTATATACAGGCTATTAAATTTTAAGTCTAACTAAAAGAGGAAAAGGTCTGAACTTCTACTTCTATCCCATCTACTGTATCTGAACTATGCATGAGTAATTACTGACTTGCTATTTTTTGCGCCAGGCAGATTATTAAAATAGATTAATAGGAAAATATTATTCTGTGTCCTCTGTGGAAGTTAACAATGTTTTAATTTCAGTGCCAAGTAATGTTGTACAAAAATGTATGCTCAAAATTACTAACAAGTTGTAATCTAAAGGAATAAAAAATGGCAGGCCAAATTTTAGCGATCCTTTCAATGTCAATATTTTATTTCTGAAGGAAAAGTAAAAACAAAAACTAAGCAAGAACAATAAACAGTTATATAATTTAGAGACTTCTTCTGTTTGTCTCTTGGAGAGCATTTTGAGAGATGCTACACCTTAAACGTGAGTCTGCCCTGGAGAGAGGCACTCTTATCTAGGTAAACTGTTTCCAGGCTTGATCCCTAAAATCAGTCCTTCTACTGTATATTGTAGGTAACTGAAACCATTTATAGATGGACAGATTATTTTCATTTAAGGATAAGTGAGTCTTGTTTGGGTTCATCATGGATAATCTAGCAGTATATTAATGGATGAAGTGAGTAATCTCAAGTAAGCCCTGTGAAACCAAAGTATATATATCAGTTAAAAGAAGTGTTAAAGTATGCATTATTTTAAAGGTGGTACTTTAAAAAAAAAGAAATGAAAAGTTACCCTGTGGAAACTGAAATAATATGGTAAAGTATTCCCAAGCTTCTCATTGAGATGTCAGCTCTGACGTCAAATGATAACAGCTGAAATGGTAGTTTTTAAGTTAATAGCGTAATCTTAACACTGGGGATACTATATAATCTGTTGCTATATAAACCATTCGTGGCTAGTTCCCATCAAGGTTTGCCAAGTAACAAAGCAAGGAATCCAGATTCCCTATTCCGTTTTTTAAAGTACACCCTGCTCACTAAAAGTTGTCAGCAAACAGACTCAAATGACTTCTGGGTGCCCAATGTTTCTATTCCAGCTATCAACATGTCTTGTTTTTGCTTGATAAAAATAAAAGATAATTAGTTTTTTAACTAATATTTAAAACACATTGAAAATGTTGGGGAACCTATAAAATAAATTTAAATGCAATATCAAAATAACCCTCAAATGAAATACTGCGTTATCCATTTTCATACAAATCACTAAAGAATCTACAGAATTTCGAGCCTACAGAATTTCAACATTATCACTTATCAAGAAACCTATTGAGGTGAGAGGGCGCTCTGTCCCAAATTTTAGGTCCAGTTTAGTCCCTGCCCTCTCCCTCACCACAGGGAGTGTTGATCTGCCTCCCATACCTTTTCCCTCCCCCTCCCTTTCCACTATTCTGGACTTTCCATCTGGAGGCAGCTGTATCGGATATTGGATTGGTATTGGCCAGTATGCCTCCTTTAAATATTGGCTATCACTATCAGCCCTCAAAATCTCTATTGGTGCACCCCTAGTTGTGATGTAGCATTTTCTGGGTTGGAGTTTAAACTTTTGTACTTTAAACCAGTGCTGAAAAAATTATTTCAAATGATTTCCCTCACTTTATGCTGTACGTGCGTTCCTGGAAAATGGAACGTAACTCGAATTCCAGTAAAAGGAACCCACTTTTACAATATAAGAAATAGAGATACGTTCCAAGATTTCGACTGTATTGACCCCCAGACCCATTTCTACCACTGTTACAAGATAATTTTGGTACTCGCCAACAGCAGATAGTACACACAAGTACAGCTGTAACTTCAAAAGCACAGGCATCAGCTGCCCTGAG